ATATACTGAGTAACTTTATACTGTCATTTTTATCATAATATAAACAATTTCCATCATCCTGAATATTACTTTATAAAGATATATATTTTAAAAGGCTTTCAAAACATTTTTCAATCCAGCATTTGAGAATAAAGCATTAAAGGAGTTTTGTATACAGTAACACATTCATGTGATAAGTGTATGAATTTACAACCATACATAATATATATGTATATATATATATATATATTTTTTATATATATATAAAAACAAACTTGGCCAGAAGTTAAGGCTACCTACAAAGTTGTCAAAGTAAATTATGCTTGTCAAAATAATTACAAAATGAAAATCATACATGCATTTAAATCCTCTAAACCACTAACAAAATAAGGTTCAGCATTCAGTTTTCAAATTAACTGCAAGAAAGTGCTACAGATATTTACATTTCCTTAATAAGTGTTCCCACAGTTACATTTAAATTTTCATGAGCATCAAATGTAAGTAACAAAAACTGAAACTTGTACAATTTGGTACCTGGTGCTCTTAAAAGAGAAAAGGTTGCAAATGGCAGGCAGCATCACCCACTGTCTCACACAGCACAGTACAGTTCACAATCCTGTTTGACCTGACACATGCTTGAGATTTTAAGCCTCTAGAGGGACTAGGAGTGATCATTTCATTAATAATTACACATATCAGCAACCACATGGATAAAGGTTTCAGGCTTTCCCACTCAAATAATTTAAGCATGGAACAAAATAAAACCAAAATATAAATGACTATTTCAAAACAACGAAGTCATTTCCAACATTTGCCTAAATATTTTACTTAATTTTTTAAAAAAGTATTCTGAATAAATGTCTCTTTTAAAATCAATTTCAGAAAATACATTTATAAATATAACTCAGCCAGAAGGCCTCTGACAGTTTTCAATGAACAGAATTTGCTGAGATGGGAAAAGTCATTTAACTAGCTCATGTATTATTTTAAAAAATAAGCTGGGAGAGCTAAATCTTTTTTTTTTTTAATTTGGTGAATAATACATTTCCAATTTGGACATCTAAAAATTCTCTTTTTCATGTTTTCAACCTTGTACACCACGTTTAGGATGAAAATTTTTATCAAATGGTAAAAGAACCAAGATTTTAAAAATTATAATGCTTAATGCTAAGGATGTTTTGTCCCTGTTGAATCAAAAAAGAAAATCCCATTTTAGACTCAAATGAAATTTAGTGTTTTAGGCACTATTTTAATAAAACTAGCACCCTTGAATACTAGCTCAGGCCTAAACAGGTAATTATATTAGATTACTGAAATATTTTTTCTCTTTTAAAAGGGTTTGTTGATATTTAAAGATAAAATTGATTTATTTAATGAATCAGTATTATATTTTGAGCAATTCATAGGTTTTTCATGACAGCTGATTCACCAAAAGAAAATTATTCCAACTCTCTACAGCAGAGTTCCAACTACAGAATTCAGGCATCATTGAGAAAACGATATTTACTAATACTCAGTGAAATAACAGGTTTTTTAAAATAACTTTAAACATTATATTTCTAAGAGTTTTTTAGGTAACAGCGTCTAAAGAACACAATCTTTAAGATTAATATACAAAATCACCTTAGGGAATTACTGTAAAATGCTTCTATGCCAACATGGCCCAGCATCTGTCTTAGTTCCTTTCCCTTCATCTTTGCTAAATAAACAAAACAAACAAAAAAACTCCTAGAAGGTGAGGCAGGTGATTGTCTTCATGCACTCTCTAATGTAGACTGTGGCAGAAGATGAAGAGAACAAAATTACATATTTCAAAAGCCAAACTAGACCACAGAATACTTCCCATTGTTATGATCCAGTGGAATGCAAGCTAGGGATAGGGTAGAATTTGGAAATTCGGCTCTGTGTTGATGGGTTAAGGCATTCAGACTCCCCAGTCATTTTAAAGAACACTTCCTGTTCCTGCAGTTTCCTGGCAAATTCTTCTTCCAGTGTCTTAAAAAGGAAAAGAAAAAGAAATTAGGCACTGGTATTTCAAACAGAATTTACTTTGGTGGCCAAGATAAAACTATTTGCCCCAAACCCATTCTCTGTATATTATCCTACGGAAGATCAGACTGCTCAATAGTTAGGATCAAAGGCTGTGCACAGCCCTGGGTTCAATTCAAGTCTTGGCTCAGCCATACTAATGGCTAACTTGGGTCAATTACTTAACTTCTCTATCTTACAGAATCATTTCATTCTTCTGCTACAAATAGGGAAAACACCTCCCACCACACTGGGTTGCTGTGTGAGGATTAAATGTGATGATGATGTACTTAACACATACTTGGTACTCAGTAGATGGCACCTACTATTATCTGTCCCTCCCATGTGACTTACTATTGTCTATTTTTTATTTTGATTATTGATGTGCATGTTTTTTCTACCACACTGGACTATAAACTGTTTAAAGTTAAAACCTAAATCAGATTCAACATTATATCCCCATAATACAGAGCAAATTTAAGTGCTTGATAAATATCTGAGGTATCAATGACTTTGCAGAAAAGTGATTCAGGGATAAAGTGCTGCTTACAGAGGTACAAAGTATAGAAGAAGATGGAAGGATACAAGAAGGTTTCTCAGAAGAAATGAAACATGAATTTAGTCTTGAAGTCAAGATTAAGAAATTAATAGACGGGATGGGGAAGGCATGACAGACAAAGAGCTGAAACAATGCAGAGGCAGGAAACTGCAAAACTGGTTTGAATAACGGTGATTATACCCTATTAGAGGCCTAGTGCACAAATTCATGCACCAGTGGGGTCCCTTGGCCTGGCCTGCGGGATTGGGACAAAACCAGCTCTCCAACTGCAATCCCCCAAGGGGTACCGGATTGTGAGAGGGCACAGGCCAGGCCGAGGGACCCCACCAGTGCACGATCAGGGCCAGGGAAGGACGCAAGAGGTTGGCCAGACAGGAAGGGCCCGCAGGAGGGCTCCAGGGCATCAGCTCCCTCAGTCCCAATCAGCCCAGCAGCAAGCTAACCTACTGGTTGGAGCATCTGCCCCCTGGTGGTCAGTGCACATCATAGTGACTGGCTGACCAGTGGACTATCTGCCCCCGGTGGTCAGTGCAGATAGAGAATTTAAGTAATTGACCCAAGTTAGCCATTAGTATGGCTGAGCCAAGACATGAATTGAACCTAGGGCTGTGCACAGCCTTTGACCCTGATGAGCGGCCTTAGCATATCATTAGCATATTACGCTTTGATTGGTTGAACGGATGACCAGACGACTGGACACTTAGCATATTAGGCTTTTATTATTTAGGAAGGAGGATACTGAAACGTAACCTGGGATCAAAGTGGTTAGAGGAAGATGAAGCTAGAAAGGTTGACTGTGGCCAATGTGTGGCACTATGAAGGCTTAAAAGTCAGACTGAGCCCTGGCCGGTTTTCTCAGTGGTTAGAGCATCTGTCTGTGGACCACAGGGTCACAGGTTTGATCCCTGACCCCAGGTTCGGGAACGTGAGGAAGGCAACCAATTGATGGGTCTCTCTCACGTTGATGTTTCTCTCTCACATTGAATTTTTTTTAAAAAAAGGATATTTGTCTCTCTCTCTCTTCTCCCCTTCACCTTCCCTTTCATTGAAAAATCAATGGAAGAAATATCCTCAGGTGAGGATTTTTTTTAAAAAAAGTCAGATTGAGGTATTTACATTTTTTTCTGAAAGAACTAAAGATTTATCAGTACCACTATGACAGTATCAGAAATGTTCTTGAGGGTAAATATTCTGGTGATGGTAGGCAAGTAGGAAAAAAGAAAAGAAGCTAGAGACCGGAAGGCCATTAGGACATTATTGAACAATGTTAAGCAAGTAGTAAGATGATAATATGAAAAAGAGAAATATTATGATTGAAGGGGGGTATCATGGAAATAAAAAATAATTCAGGTTTCTAGCCTAGATGTCAAGAGAACAGGAATGTGGGAAGAACATCTGTTGGTGAAGCGACTATGGAGAGAGGGAAAGGTGAGACATAGATGAAGAAAAAAGGATATTAAGTTTAGTTTTATCTCCCCTGAGTTTAGAATCTTTAGTCAACATTCAACAGGTGTGTAATGACCATTATAATGTGCAGGAACTATTCTAAAAGTTAGGGATGTACCGGTGACCAAGCGATAATGTCCCTGATTTCAAGGAGCCTACATTCTTGTGAGAGAAGACAAACAATAAACAAATGTATCTGGTGGTGATGAATGTTATGAGGAAAAACAAAGAAAGGTGAGGGGATAGAGTGTTTGAGGTGGGTATGGAGTCTATTTTATATATAGCGATCCAAAAAAAGAACCTTTGATGAAATGATATTGGAACAGAGGCCTGAATGAAATGAGGAATGGAACATCCAGGTGGAAAATGGGAGCTCTGAGAATGAAACAATAAAACAATGAACAATCTACACTAATAAAAGACAAAGATGCTAATTGACTGTACCTTAGCTATGCCCAAGCCACGCCCACCAGCCAATCAGAGCAAATATATGCAAATTACCCCAACCAAGAAGGCGGCCAGCAGCCACAGAGCTGAAGTAAGTAGGAGGCTTGGTTGCCCCAGCGATGGAGGAAGCCAAGCTTCCTGCCTGCGGCTGTGGCCTCAGCAAAAAGCAACAAAGTTTCAATTATAGAAGCTAAATAAATCCCAGATACCTGCTTTCAGCCAGCCTCCACTGGGAGCTTGGGTGGCTGGGGGTTGTGGCCAGCCTGCAAACAGCCATCAGCCCCTCACCTAGGATGGCCACACACTCTTGGGGTGAGGGTCCCCACTAGGGGCCTTGGCCAGCCTGCAAACAGCCATCAGCCACTCACCCATGCTGGCCAGGCTCCCCAGCCTGAAAACGGCCCTTAGCCCCTCACTCAGGCTGGCCAGGCACCCCAGCGGGATCCCCACCCTGATCCGGGACACCATTCAGGGCAAACCAGCTGGTCCCACCCATGCACCAGGCCTCTATCTTGTATAATAAAAGGATAACATGCAAATTGACCCTAACAGCAGAGGGACTTGGAATCACTATTCACTATGACACACACTGACCACCAGGGGGCAGACGCTCAATGCAGGAGCTCCCCCTGGTGGTCAATGTGCTCCCACCCGGGAGCTCTGCTCAGCCACAAGCCAGGCTGATGGCTGCCAGTACAGCGGTGGTAGAGGGAGCCTCTCCCGCCTCCTCTGCAGCACTAAGTATGTCCAACTGCAGCTAGGCCTGCTCCCCACTGGAAAGTGGACATCCCCCGAGGGCTCCCGGGCTGCCAGAGGGATGTCTGACTGCCAGCTTAAGCCCAATCCCCTGGGGAGTGGGCCTAAGCCAGCAGGTGGTCATCCCCCGAGGGGTCCCAGACTGTGAGAGGGCACAGGCCGGACTGAGGGACCCTTCCGAGTGCACAAATTTTTGTGCACCGGGCCTCTGGTAATAGCAATAATAACCATTCATTGAACCCTGACCACGCTCAAGTACTGGGACCACTGCTGTGCATGCAGCACTTCCTTTAACTGTCTTAACCCCACTAAGATAAATTTTACAAATAAGGAGAACTAGACTTAGAAAAGTTAAATAACAAAATTAATCAGTGTCAACAATGATATTGTAATCCAGATCTGCATGACTTTAGAATTTGTGCTCTATATAACCCCTACTATACAAGTTTTGGGATTGTCCTTAAATATGCAACAGTTGAAGCCATGACTAGCTACGAGGACAGAACTAAGGGTAAAACTGGGAAATGTTTACACTTCAGGTGCCTGGATGACAAAGAAAAGGTGATAAAGAGCACAAAAAAGAGAGTATATCACAAAAGTCAGGCAAGAAGAGAATTTTAAGAAACAAGATTTATAATCAGAACAATTAGATAATGTCCTAGGACCTGGTTATTACCAACTCACTTGTGACCAGTTAAAAGTTCAATTTGGGAGTTTGAAGTGAAAGCTAGACTGCAAAGAGTTAAAAGAAACTAGAGAAAGAGAATTCTTACTGTTTACCCTTCCATGCCTTTTGAATTCTGAACCATATGACTGTATAACCTAGTTAAGAATTTAAAAATAAAATTCCAGTTAAAAAGCCACACTATCAACTGACTTGGTCATTTCACTTCCTCTAGAAATGTTAACACATAATAGGTGCTAAATTCATATTACTGTAATTCATTGATTGGATGAACAGAAGAAAGGAATGGTTGAAATGTATAGCAGGCAAGAAGCCCAAGAGAAAATAAAGCTTTAAGTTTGAGAGTTAACAAAGGAAGAGGATCACATAGTGATAACAAGAACTGAATGGTTGACCAACTGGACCAGGCTATCAGACAGCCAAGTGCAAATAAGGAAAATGGGTAGCTGGTTAGATAAAGGCAGGGAAGCCATTCCTATTTTATTAAATTGTCAATTTACATAACACCCCATGGCCTTGCAATCTGGCTCCCTGTCAACCTGTCTAGACCAAGCTGTCATTACTTCCTTCTCCCCTTCTCTAATGCCTACAAATATGAACGCACTCCCCTTATGGGGAGCAACTTATAATTTCTGTACACATTACCTTCAGTCATTTTCTTCTCTGTGCCTAAATTGCCTCGTCCCACCCCAATCTGTCTGTTCACCCAGTAAGCTCTTACTCATCCTTCAAGCCCCTCTTGGCTTACAAGGCATCTCCTCTCAGAAGCTTCCCTGAGTCCCCCACGAAGACCTAAGCACTCCTCCTCCTTGGCTTGTACACTGTGCTCCTCTCCCCTGTATTTTGAACTTAACTCCTTCAATACAGCAATGATCCTACTGATCTGTAATTGCTTGTCACCAGATTCTGAAGCTTTGGGGGACAGAGATTTTGTCTCCACTCCCCTGTATCTCCTGCATCTGACACTCATTAGGTAAAGAGCCAATAGCTAGGAGGATGAGTGGATGGATGGATGGATGGATGGATGGATGGATGGATGGACGAATGGACAGACTGATGCAAACATTTTAATTAAAACTTTTAAAATTACCTTTTTCCTAGGTCTCAATTTTTCTCTCCATTCCTTTAATTCCTGGCTGTGCTCCTCATCTAACTCCTTTAGTTTCTGAGTCTCATGCTCAACCAATAGATGGCATTTTTCATTCTGGAAATAAAGTTTGAATTAAAAAACTTCAGATCAACAAAGTAACTTTTCACAAATACATTATCTTCCAAAATAATAAATTATTCATCAAACACTAGGCTACTATGAGGTTCAAATTCTCCTCTAAAAACCAAGAGCCAAGAATTAGGAAATGAGTCATAGCTTCATCTTTGCAAGTTTAGAAGCTAGGTCTGTTACCATATGAAAAGAACTTAACTAGGTAGCATTAGTTTGATCCTGCTTTTCCTTTCTAAGGTTTACTCATAAAACTGACACTTCAGAAGGCAGCTTGTATGCATTTTACCCGATGTTACCAAAATATAGGATTCAGAAATCTTCCATTCTGGTAAACTAAGCAAATATGTAGAGTATCCAAAATGCATACACTACTCTGAAATCCTAAACATTTTAGGCTATCTACTAGATTGGGTTGTGTATTCCAGGTAAGGTTCAAAAACAGTCCTCTCTAAAGTAATCTTTAAATTTCTTAGGGAAAAATTCTCATATATTTAGTTTATCGCCTTTTTCATGAACCTAGAAGAAAATAAGCTATTTCTCCCTAAATGAAATTTCAAATTCAGAATCTGGTAATGAAACTGCTTAGATCATTTTGAAAACTTTGTTCATCTTCTTTGCAAAATATACTAAAAATACTCAATACTACTTTTGAAAGACTCAACTTCTTAAGGTTATAATTTAGCTTCATGCTATATTATAGTTACATATAATACAAACAAGTGCCTCTGATACTAAAGTGATCTTACTTTCGGTCTGTAATAGGAAACAGATTCCAGCATTTTTATGAGTAAAGTGAAGCTTACTTTGGTTAGCTATTATTTTCCCAAACCCGGTGCTGCTCATCTATTACCAGCTTTGTCTTAGAGCTTCCATATCTAACCTGCAGCTGATGCAGCTCTCGGACATTGGCTTCACACTGCAACTGAAGATCCCGCATTTGATTTTCATGTTTTTGATGCTGAGCCATCCTCTCATTTTTCTGCCTCTTTTCTTCTTGGGCAGCAAACTGTAAATAAGAAAAATAAAGGCAAATATGGTTAACAAGCAATGTAATTTCTGTATCTTCCAAAGGTATAATTAAGAAATTCACTAAAGCTTAAAGTACAATAAATTAAAGATGCATGTAATAATATATTGTGACTCAAGCTGGAGTCTATATTATGGGGAGGGGAGGACTTCTGATTACACCTTGTTCCTCCCATCAGCTTAGTGACTGACCTCAGTTAATTTGTGTGTGGGACTTCTGAAATATAGTGAAGTCTTATGTTTTTACTTTAAAAGTTGTCCAAGTCATCTCATTCCCAAGGCTAATTTTAGGACCACTATAATCCAGGACCTGGTGTGGGGCATAGGAGGGAAGGCTCTGCCCTCTGTGGCCATCACCCTAGGAAGACTATGTTGGTACATGCCATATATTTAGCCCCAACCCACAGAGCCAAAGTGAACATCAATAAGTGCAATAAATGTTTACAACACAATCATGTGACCCTTCTAAAAGTCATTCAAATATTCTTAACCTAAAAGAGAAGACAGTAATTTGCTTATTTACCTGTTTAATTTTTTCACGGTCCTGATCTGGTGTGGCCGTTGAGTTAATTCTCAAACTTTTCTTAAACATGGCCATTCGAGTCTTGGCTTCACTACGTTGAATCTTAGGCAGTCTTGCTCTTTCTTGAGTCTGTCTGTTTTTCAATTCCTCAATAAGTCGTTGATTGTAACGCTGCATTTGTTCTGTTTCCTAAGAAAGTTTTAAACAGAATCCAGTTGATGTAGATCTAATTTAACACTGAGTGCCCACACATATGTTCAAACATGCCATTTTGTTTGTTGTTGTTTCCCAAAATTACTCTCTCTTTTACTGCATAAAAATCAGCAAAATATTAGCCAAAAAACTTCTAGGAAAAATAAAGCTATTAGTAATAAGAGTCTTTTGTTGAAGCTCTCTTTTACTAAGTATAAGGAGTCCACACTTTTAAGATACATGAACCACAAATAGAGCCACAATAGCTACTTTTGAGAGACCAAGATGAAGATTATCAAGGCCATTAGGCATTATAATTAGTTACCTTCCATGGAATTTGTAGAAAAGAAATTTGCAATCATGATCGACATACAATTAATTACTCCAAACTTCATCAAAGACATTTTAGGATAAAATAAAGAAATCTGAAACGCATTCTCTAAGACATATAAGTTTCAAAAATGAAATCCTCATTCTGCAAACTTTAAAATGAACAAAAAAGTAAATAAATTTTCCCTTCATTAACCTTCTCATGGCGCTTCAGTAACTGATGTCTTTGCATGAAATACTGATCTTTAAGTTGCTGTTTGAGCAGCTGGTGTTTTTCTTGTAAGTGCCGTTCTTCAAGCTCCCAAATTGCAGCTTCTCGAGCTAGAAGAAGAAAGCAATTTTCAAAATGTCATTTTGATCTTTTTACTAATGTACTTTGGATTTCATTTTTTTACATAAATTTACATAAAAGTTATCTATATACACTTACATACAAGCTGACATTCTGAGCTATAAATAAAATATTACCAATGTAAAGATAACATCTATTACTACTTTCAGTTCTGTTCTAATGTTCTCTAACAGAGAATGCCACACCCCCAAAACCAAAATTCTATTTAATCATCTTCACGAGAAATTTAAAAAAAAAAATCTAACCTATTACTTAGGGGAAATAAGTGGTTAAAATCCCATTCTATGATGTAGCCATTAAGTATACCAACAATTATAAGACATAATGAGTATGTAAAATTATTCAGGTACATTTCTAGCATCATCTGGACAAAAAGATGTTTTAAGGAATATATTTATTTTCACTTGTACTGTCATAAAGGAATTCTATAACTCACAGTATTTTGTAATTTTTTTCCTCTTATTTACCTCAACTTTATCTTAAAAAAATAGCTTTATCTATCCCTATACCACTCTAGCAAAGGAAAGCATTCAAATAATTTTCAAGGTATAGCTCCGCAATGTTATTGAGATATCATTTTATAGGTACACATATGCTGCATAATTTCATATACCTCTCATGAGTTGCTGCTTGTTATTCAGGCACTCTCTCTCAATATTGGCTAACTCTGCCTTCTGCTGCTGGATGATCTTTTTCAGAGAGCCATCTAATTCTTGTTGTTGCTTCTGAACAAACTCTTGTTCCTATTAGACATAGTTAACCATAAGTTAAGACATATTTACTGAGCAAAACATCCATTTATCTGTATGACTGTATATATTAGTGGTTATCAAGATTTCTAAACCAAGTTTCTAAAGTTAGTGACATTTTTTAAATACCAAGATTATATAGAGTATAAATGTATTAGTCACCCAATTCAAGCCTAGGAAAAAAGTACTAGAATACATAATATTCTAAACTCATCATTAAGACTAACACATACAAAAGAAGTCTATTATCCACTCATAATTAAAATGCCCTGTTACACTGGCATCTTTGGGAAAATTATAAATTTACATCTTCTAAAACTGACTATCCATTCCAGTATGGTGTAGATAAAACAAGAACAAACAAGAAATGCCTTTTGGAAAGAAAGGCCATGAACAGCAGATAAATAAAACAGATGTCAGAATTTTAAACACGATTTTTCTGACAAACAAAGAGTTAGGAAGAAATACCATGCCTATACTAATAGAGAAAGATATTTTCTGTGTCAACAGCCTGTGCTTAAAAAGAACAATAGTTTGAGGACTTAATAAGAAATAGTGCATTGCTAGAGAAATGTGAACTAGGAATAGGAAAGTGAGCTACATTTATAAATCTATAAACAAAATTCCTTATAATCAGAGAACTCTTATAACATGTTTGGGATTCACTCACTCATCCAACAAATATTTACTGAGTACATACTATGTATGTAAACACCAAATTTATGCTTTAAAAATACCCTTTGGTTACTGTGTAAGAAAGGATAAAGTGAATTATGATTCTTATGCTAGAACATAAATTTACAGAAGAAAAGGAACAATATCCAAATTGAAGGAATGTAAATTTTGCCCAGGAAATGTTTGGATTTCTACCCCTCTCTTGGCAGTTAGAGCAGTTTGTGATTAGCTCAAGGGATATTCTGATCAATATGAGTGTAGATTTAAAAATTTAGTGTTGAAGCACCATTTCACCTATAATTCCTCCTCTTGCATATCCTAGAGAAGATAAAACCCTAACATCCTTTTAGAACTAATTTTTGGGCCTCAAACAGAATCTCATAGATCTAAATCACAACCTGCCTGGCTTCAATGCACAAAGAACAAGTCTAGCAGTGCTCCTCAAGTCCTTGCCTTACTACTGTCCCTAGAGGTAAGGATCAGGTCTTACCATTCATGACATCCTGTAATTCAGAGTCACAAAAGCTACTGTTTCATCTGCATCATAATTCGTATTTTAGCAAAAATACAAATATACAGTAGCAAAAAGACTAATGAATTGCCTCTATAAATAAAATTGTCAACTTGACTACAGATACCTATATAACTTTATCACGACAAAAAATAAATAAAACTAAATATTTAAATTCAAATATAGAATAAGGTCTTTTGAGTTTTATTTAAAGAGATGCAAAATTTCCATGCCTATCTTTTAAGCAGTTACAACAAAGAAAGTTGTTAAAGCTTCTCTTTGTCCTACAGTAAATATCACTTGTAATAAAAATTAAATTGTTTCTCTAATTTCATTATGAAATTTCTATATGCAAACTTATTAAATAAACCTATATTAGCTGGCAGACATATGAAAGGGTTTTCTTTTGTTCAACATTATTTGTCATTGGTTTGCATAAAAATCTTAAAAAAAAAATGTGTGTGATCCTGGCCAGGTACCTCAGTTGGTTGGAGTGACGTCCCATACCAGGAGGCAACCTATCAATGTCTCTGTGTCTTTCTTTCTTTCTCTTTCTCTCTCTCTCTCTCTCTCTTTCTCTCTCTCTCTCTCTCTCTCTCTCTCTCTCTCTCTCTCCCTCTTCCTCTCTAAAAATCAACAAAAAGACATATCCTCAGGTGAGGACAAAAAAAAATATTTATGTGTGATGGGTCCAAATTAACTAGCATAAATATAAATATTACATTTAGGCTCAAAAATATCAAGTGCAAAAATACAAGATGGGGCAAATACGTATTTATTTATACGCATTTATATTGAAAATTAAAAGGGTATATACAAATCAGTGCCACTCAAACGCAATTTCTTGTCAATGACAATTTTGGTCACATTACTGTTATATATTTATGTCTAGATAAACAATATATGAATTCTATTAAAAGAAAACCTTTAAGTAAGCAGTGGGCCCCTTCTCTTAGTATTACACTTTCAAAAGTTCAATAGTAGCCTTAGCCAGTTTGGCTCAGTGGATAGAGTGTTGGCCCTCAAACTGAAGGGTCTCGAGTTCAATTCCAGTCAAGGGCATGTACCTGGGTTGCAGACTCGATCCCTGGCCCCAATCAGGAAACATGCAGGGGCAACCAATTGATGTGTCTCTCTCACATCAATATTTCTCTCTGTGTGTCTCTCCCCCTCTCTTTCACGCTAAAAATCAATGGAAAAAAATTCTCAGGTGAGAATTAACAACAACAACAAAAAGCAGGCAGAACTAGCATTGCTCTGCTCCAGAAGGTAAAATACAGCATCAACAGGAAAGAGTCAAGGTGGGCAATATATGGCAGTGCTTCCTAATAACTAGTTAGCAAAAACACCAGTTGCCTTACAGAGCTATGAACCTGAATAATTAAGCAGAGTCTGAATGATTACACAGTCAAGAATAATGCTTGGATAATTGTTTATATTAAAGCTAAAAATTACCTGAAAGGTCTTTTACATACTAATTAATATATTTTATTGCCTCAAAAGAAATGAAATTTTAGTATTATTGAGCTTTCATTAAATTTCCTTACTCCACAAGCCAAGTACAGTATGTTCACAATGGAATTTTTTAGTTAGAAATTACTCTTAGGCTCTAAATGAAAACTGATGTTATATTCCAAAAAGACTGTACAAATTACATTCATCCAATAAAAAAATTGAGATCAATCTGATCACTGGAAGTAAATACTTTTTAAAAGGACACATAAATTGTAAAATGAGTGCCCATTAAATGTACAAGTTTGAATTTGGTAAGTAATTTTAATTTTATCGTATTCATCAGATATCTATGAACATGAAAAATACAACTTTGTGTTTTAGAAAACTGTAAGAAAGGGTTATAATATATTGGGCTATTTGTACAGAATTTGATCATTTTAACGCAAAAGAAAAGCTAAAAATGGTAATGATCAGAAAAGTGATCGTAATTCATAATTTCTCCCTCTCGTTAAAAAAATTAATGTTTTTTTTACTCTTTTAGAAAACTATAGAGTCCAACAGCTACCAATAAAAATAAATTAGTCTAATTTCAGGAGAGGGGAAAGAGGGGGTTGAAATCAAGCTGTATTCTATCTACTCCAGTTGTATATATCAAACGTAACAAACAAAAATTAGAGTGTTAAATGAGGTAGTCATTCCCTATAGAAACTGTGAGAAAGAATACAGCCTAGAATTTCAGACTTAATTTAAAACTACAAGAAGAATAGCAATTCACTATTCATTATGGAAAATTGAATAGTGAAAACTAGAGTTAAATGGAACTACAATCACCACTTTTAATATGTCTTTTCTGACCATATCCATAATTAAAACAGCTACATAAATATATATGCAATCAAAATGTCACTTCACACAAAGATAAAAATCTAACCACAGCATTCAACTTCTCACATGTGCAAAATTCATAAAATACTATTGGGAAGATATTTCTTAAAAATATGAATATCTCAAATTAAAAATTGTGGTGGGGTAGATAGAAAAAGAACACTGTATTAGAAGTGTTCTAGTTCTAATCTCTTAGTGACTTTAGGCAGATCACTTAGACTTCTGAACCTTGATTTCTTCATCTGTAAAATGAATAGATTCCATCCCTATATTAGGGTGGTGGCAGTGAGAATAAAATGTGAAAACTCTGAAGAATACTGTACTAAAAGTCATGTCAAGTTATTAGTTATTGTCATTACTGACATTATCATCTATCAATCTTCTATGGTTTTAACAAACAAAGCTAACAATGAAAAGGCACATGTGAGCCAAAGAAAAAGCAGGTAAAACAGGAGAAGGCATCCTCCTACAGGCACGCGGGACTTACGTCCTGCATTTGGGCGTTGAAGACTGCACAAGATGACAACTGAAAAGACTGAATCATGGCCTGAGCAAGACCCTGTGGATCAGAATACAATGCACCTCCCAGGTGAGAATTTAGCTGAATGACTATTTATAAATGGAAAAAAATAATTATACAAATGTTGAGTTTCTTGAGGCATGAAACAGAGGGGCCTCTTTCTCCTCTGTAAAATGAAGGATTTGAACTAGATCAATGGCTTCCAAACTCTTGCTGGCATTTTTTTAAAATCAGTCAAGCCCTCTTTTAAAAAACTCACCAAAAATACATAAAATTTATAAAACAGATAAAAAGTGGTGCTGCATGAGTTGAAGTGGAAGCAGGGGCCGAGAGCCCCAGAGTCCTCACTTTTTGAAGGATTCTCAAGGTACTTCTTCTAAACTCAAGAGCTACTGGAGGCTCAATTTGAAAACCACTGGACCAGATGATCAAATACATTCTTCTAGCTCCATGAATATATGGCTATTATTTATAAACACTCAAAAAAAGTTTAAAATAGACTCTGTAATCAAGTCTTAGCACCTTCATTAAAAGCAGTAGCTAAAGAGAAATACTTTTGAAATTTGTTTTACTAAATTCTTCATTAAATTTACAAAAATAATTACTTTCAGCTTTCATCGGAAAATACAGTCTAATACACAAAATTATATGAATAATCACCACCAAAGTTTTACTAAAGTATAGGATGACCTAATTCATTCAATACTAAATTCTCAATTTCAACTCTATAATCTGATATATTATCCTTTGGAATTTAAAAAGTTTACATTCCTTTACAAGGCAAAAACTATATTATTATTATTATTATTATTATTATTATTATTATCTGATTTAAAATCCAAATTACTCAAAAACGTACAACCAGCAAGGACTTCCCTTCCACCTAATAACAAGAAATGGCCAACAACCACTAAGCTAAGCTGCTAAGATTTTATATTTGGCACAAAAGGGGTAGCTTAAATATGAGAGGCAGTAAGTATGTTATGGTGGTTCAATGTGGAACTAAACTTGGCTAGACAAGTATTCTGGTTCTACCATTAACCAGATGTGTGATCTTAGAAAAGTCACTCAACTTTCCTGTGCTTTTAGTTTCCTCACTGTAGGATGGAGATAATAAGAGAAACTACTTCATATATTGTGAAGAGAAATGAGTTTATACAGGTAAAGCATTTAGAACAGTGCTTGATACATAGTAAATGCTATGTTTGCTATTTAGTGATCTCCAAACCAGTCAAAAGAAAACTTTTTACTATTAAAATTTTTAATTCTGAGATATTTATTCTTTTCTATGGTATTAAAATAGTCTCTCCTTTGAAATGATGGTGACAAGTAAATGACAGTTTTAAAATATCCTTACTTGGCAAAAATAAAATTTTAATGGCAATCCATTTGTCATGGTCCCCAATGTTTTTTTGTTATATTTTGCATTCCTTTTCATGGGTCTATAAAGTTTAAAAGTCTGGGAACCACTTTTGAAATTACATAAAACCACATTTAAAAGATAATATAAAGCAACAGTTAATATATAATCCGTGTCTCTTCTTCCTTTCATTGACATATGTAACTATAAATTAAACTCACTTTTCTTTGCCTCCAAGCTGAGTGCAAACTTAATTAAAAGAAAAATGATTCCTTGTAGAGTCACATGAAATTCTATATAAGAATATATTAAAAATACTAATTTATCTAATTTAATGAAGAATTCACTCATCTTAATTGGCTCAGCCTTATAACCTAGAATTAAATTTATATGGGTAAAAATAGTCTATTTTTTTAATTGCTAGATTCTGAGTCAAAAAGAAAAACAACAGACTTATATTTAAAATTGGGCTCAGCTGGTATGGCTCAGTAGTTGAACATAGACCTATGAACCAGGAGTTCACGGTTTGATTCCTGGTCAGGGCACATGCCAGGGTTGTGGGCTCGATCCCCAGCATGGAGCATATTAGCAACTTAAATGTCACCATTAATGTGCCTTTAGTGCTACATAAAGAATGCCCTGGGAACCTTTGTATGACATACAAAGTCAATAACATAATAATTACATTTAGAAATTATCCTTTCAACCATGGTTTACTGAGCTGTTAGAATAATGCTGCTTTCTGTTTTTAGTAGCATTAAGCTGCTGCTGTTACCTGAGCATGCTGGGTTTGTGCAAGCTCCTCTTTCCTGCGTTTCATGAGCTCTTTTCTCAGCTCTTTGGGTGCACTCTCCACTTCATTTATAACCTACAGTGTATAAGCATGCAGGAGGTGGGGAAATACTTTCTCCACAGCAAGCATTTATGTGAGCAAACTACAAGTCAAATATTAAAGCTGTTAAAAAGTTGAACATGCATTAGCATAGGTGTTAGTTTGGTGAAAAAGAATGAAAGGACAGAACATGCTTAATCTCAGTGCAGAAAAGGGACATTATGCCATGTAGAAGGTAATTAGTTGCTTAATTATCCCTACATATCATTCCCTCTAAAGACCCAAAGACAATCAATAAAGGATTACTTACAGTACTGATGCTGAACTAAGACAATTAACTGACCTTCTTGAAAGATCATAAAATTATATCTATTGACGCTGTTTGAAATATTGGGCATAAGGAAAGCTAATGCCCCTTATAAAAGTGAAACATTTCATAATTAGCTTGATAATTTTAAATAAAATCCACTAAATGAGATCAAAAGAACAACAGGGTAAGTTAGCCTTAGGACACACAAAGGAGAAATAAATGGATACTACATTTTCTTTTTTTATAAAACACACCATTTTATACACGGTGTGAAAAAAATAAATATATCTGACACTTTTGAGATGGATTAAAATAACATTCTCCTTTGCTGACAATTTAAGCCAAACTTAAATGCCAAGTTTAAAATCAGTAATATAAGCATTCATAAAATAAGTTTAATTTGCTATGATTTATTATACCCAATAAAACATATCATAAAATGAAGTATAAAGTTCTTTCTTTTAAATCATTTCAAAATTCTAGATATGTATTCCATCTAAAAACAGACCTGTAATCCAACTATGAAAAATGATCATATATTTACACAAGTAAAAGCACCAAAAGCAACCAGATTCCAAATCACCACATGCTGTTGATGGTTTGTGAAAGAGACTGATTTTGATTTAACAGGGTATTTAAAATTTCCCATCAGTAATTCCTCATGAAACCAAATCACCATTAAAGGAAGAAACTCCCCAAATGCAAGAAGTTTAGTGATAAGGGAAAAAAATACATAATATAATTATTTAAAATATGCATTATCATGATCTCAAACATATTCACTGGCTAAAATTCCCTTACCCAAAACAGTAATAATAACTACAGACTCTTATGTATTTAGGATTAAATCACATTATTTCCCTGTAAAATTTTATTTATTTAATTTGCTATTAAAAATAAACTCTCACCCAGCTGGTATGGCTCAGAGGTTGAGCATCTACCTATGAACCAGGAGGTCATGGTTTGATGCCTGGTCAGGATACATGCCCAGGTTGTGGGCTTGATCCCCAGTAGGCAAGAGGCAGCTGATCAATGATTCTCTCTCATCATTGATGTTTCTATCTCCCTCTCCCTTCCTCTCTGAAATGAAAATATATAAATGTTTTAAATAACCTCTCAATGAAAACTACCCAGTTTTCATTGTAGCCTCAGTAAAAGTCATACACCATGATATAAAAAGCCATTTTATGTAAAATATGTGACAAAACAGTAAGTTTTAGAAATGATAGCCACATCAAATAAAATTATATACCATTTCATTCATCTTTACCTAAAGAAATCATTGAACACACTATATTTATTAATGTTTGATTCTATCCTTTTTAAAGTAGATCCTCAAGTTCAGCAATATGATGTTCAATTTTCTGCATAATTTAAATGTTAAAGTCAATGGAGCTGGGTATTTGAAACATACAAAAGTGAAAATGCATTCACTAGTTTGTTTGAGATGTTTTGGTTCCATCCTAATAGATATATCATAATTATTGTTCCTGGGTCCTTTATAATCATGAAAAGGTACTTCTCCTCCTACACTAAAGGTACAGAATAAATCATAACATTATCTCTTAAAGCTGCTAATATATAAAGCTCTCTTAGTTTGGGGAGAAAAAGACATACTAATCCAATATATAAGTCTTCTTTCTCAACCAATGACAATCTTACACACCACAAACAAGATTCTACCACAATATGGAATAGTTTCAGGAAAAATGAAAAAATTCATCCTATTCAAATGACTTTACAGATGTTTTCTACCTTTGATTCTTCAAAGTATCTCACAATTTGATGAATTTGATTTTCAGATTATTTAGCTTTTGTTTCGGTACAATGTCAAAGAGAGGCAATTAACTTAATAAAAAGAATATGTTAAGTATGAATTAAATATATTATTGCCTCCTACAAACACAACACTAAGTTTTCTTGAAAAAATACTTCTGTAATAGGCCTTAAATGTTGTATTAATAAAAGAGAAATGATAATTTGGAAGAAAAATGAAGACTTGGTTCAACGTGTAGCTGGATACTTACTGGCAGATTGTGAACTTGAATAGGCCATTAAAACCTCTTCTACTCCAGCCTCCTGAGCAGTAAAATGGGTTAACACCTGACCTTACTACTAACCTACCTGACTGTTGGGAAGATAACAACAACAAAAAAGAGTCCTATTTAACTAGTAAAAGTAGCTTGAATAATTAAAAACAGTACACTTACCTCCTTTTTTCGGTTCTTCAATATATTCTGAAATTTGGACAATTCTCTCTCTTGTTCTCCTTTAATGCGTTTGGCTTCATCTCGCAAGCGATTTGTGTGTTCTTGTTCTAGACGTTCAATAGTCTGTTTCTGCTGTTTTTCTAGATTCTCAATTTCTTGGTCATATTGTCGCTTTTTGCTCTGTAAAACAATGTAGCTCAAGATCATTTTATTTTTCTATCACTCATATTAACTATTATAATGAAGATGTTTACTAAGAGGACATAACTAGCATTTTAATTTAGATGTAATGAATATAACCTTTGTAGTACTGAACAAGTCAAATGAACTAAAATATATAATTTTTTAAAAAGTCATGCATTTCTTTTCTTCTAACATGGAAAATAAATACAGTTGACCCCTAAGTAGGTTTGAATTGTACAGGTCCACTTATATACAGATTCTTTTTTTTTTCAATAAATATACAGTTGGCCCTCTGTATCCCTGGGTTTCACATCTGCACATTCAACCAATCACAAATTGAAAACAGTATTTTCAACCCATGGTTGGAAATCCATGGATTCAGAAGGCCTATTGTATGCACTGTTCTATATCTTCAGATTTTGGTATCCATGGGGCGGGGGGTGGGGGGGGTGTCCTGAAACCAATCCTCCGCAGATACCCAGGGACAACTGCAGTTAGGTTTTTAAGAAGTTACAAGTTAAACATGGATTTTCTACTGCACAAGGGAAGGGGCAGGGCTGAAAGTTCATGCCCCTAAAACCCTGCACTGTTCAAGGGTCAACTGTACATTTTTCTATTATACAAGCAGTAGAATGTTGCAAATTTTTAGAGAATCCAGGAGAATATCCAATTGCTATGAAGTACTAAAGTAAAAAAAATATATTTATACAATACTAGAGGCCCGGTGCACGAAATTTGTGCATGGGGGAGGGGGGGTGTCCCTCAGCCCGGCCTGCAACCTCTCTATTGTGGGACCCCTTGGGGGATGTCCGACTGCCAGTTTAGGCCCCATCCCGGCAGTCGAACATCCCTCTTGCAATCTGGGACCACTGGCTCCTAACCGCTCACCTGCCTGCCTGTCTGATTGCCCCTAACCACTCTGCCTGCTGGCCTGATGCCCCTCACTGCTCCCCTGGTCTGATCACTGCTAACTGCCCACCCCCTGCTGGCCTGATCGCCCCTAACTGCTCCGTACTGCCGGCCTGATGACCCCCAAATGCCGCCCCCCTGCTGACCTAATTGCCAACTGCCCCACCCCCTGCCAGCCTGCTGCCCACCCCCAACTGCTCCCCCCCTGCAGGCCTGCTCTCTCCTAACCACCTCTGCCTTGGCCC